TCATCATGAGCTGACACCAGTTAGAGAACCATTGGAAAACCTGGGAGTACTGGACAGCTGTTTCGTCCTAGTTTGGGACTCTTCAGCAGTACGCACCCACCGGGATTCGAACCCAGGACCTTCTGGTTACAAGGCGAGCTCGTATACCATTAAGCCACTGGGACCCGATCCAATGGTCCATGAATTCTAACTTCTGCCAATTCACGACATAGCGCGACCCCTAGCCAATGTCTTCGGCGAGTATTTGTCCTCACGCCCGACCTGCTGCACCCTACTGGTCACGACTTCTCACTAGAACCCCAGGTGACTACCCACCTGAATAGGGCAAGTCGCTAGTGAGCATCTCATTGATTTTCAAGTGTTGGTTTGTAGGGATTTGATTGGTTACAGGATTTCATCATGAGCTGACACCAGTTAGAGAACCATTGGAAAACCTGGGAGTACTGGACAGCTGTTTCGTCCTAGTTTGGGACTCTTCAGCAGTACGCACCCACCGGGATTCGAACCCAGGACCTTCTGGTTACAAGGCGAGCTCGTATACCATTAAGCCACTGGGACCCGATCCAATGGTCCATGAATTCTAACTTCTGCCAATTCACGACATAGCGCGACCCCTAGCCAATGTCTTCGGCGAGTATTTGTCCTCACGCCCGACCTGCTGCACCCTACTGGTCACGACTTCTCACTAGAACCCCAGGTGACTACCCACCTGAATAGGGCAAGTCGCTAGTGAGCATCTCATTGATTTTCAAGTGTTGGTTTGTAGGGATTTGATTGGTTACAGGATTTCATCATGAGCTGACACCAGTTAGAGAACCATTGGAAAACCTGGGAGTACTGGACAGCTGTTTCGTCCTAGTTTGGGACTCTTCAGCAGTACGCACCCACCGGGATTCGAACCCAGGACCTTCTGGTTACAAGGCGAGCTCGTATACCATTAAGCCACTGGGACCCGATCCAATGGTCCATGAATTCTAACTTCTGCCAATTCACGACATAGCGCGACCCCTAGCCAATGTCTTCGGCGAGTATTTGTCCTCACGCCCGACCTGCTGCACCCTACTGGTCACGACTTCTCACTAGAACCCCAGGTGACTACCCACCTGAATAGGGCAAGTCGCTAGTGAGCATCTCATTGATTTTCAAGTGTTGGTTTGTAGGGATTTGATTGGTTACAGGATTTCATCATGAGCTGACACCAGTTAGAGAACCATTGGAAAACCTGGGAGTACTGGACAGCTGTTTCGTCCTAGTTTGGGACTCTTCAGCAGTACGCACCCACCGGGATTCGAACCCAGGACCTTCTGGTTACAAGGCGAGCTCGTATACCATTAAGCCACTGGGACCCGATCCAATGGTCCATGAATTCTAACTTCTGCCAATTCACGACATAGCGCGACCCCTAGCCAATGTCTTCGGCGAGTATTTGTCCTCACGCCCGACCTGCTGCACCCTACTGGTCACGACTTCTCACTAGAACCCCAGGTGACTACCCACCTGAATAGGGCAAGTCGCTAGTGAGCATCTCATTGATTTTCAAGTGTTGGTTTGTAGGGATTTGATTGGTTACAGGATTTCATCATGAGCTGACACCAGTTAGAGAACCATTGGAAAACCTGGGAGTACTGGACAGCTGTTTCGTCCTAGTTTGGGACTCTTCAGCAGTACGCACCCACCGGGATTCGAACCCAGGACCTTCTGGTTACAAGGCGAGCTCGTATACCATTAAGCCACTGGGACCCGATCCAATGGTCCATGAATTCTAACTTCTGCCAATTCACGACATAGCGCGACCCCTAGCCAATGTCTTCGGCGAGTATTTGTCCTCACGCCCGACCTGCTGCACCCTACTGGTCACGACTTCTCACTAGAACCCCAGGTGACTACCCACCTGAATAGGGCAAGTCGCTAGTGAGCATCTCATTGATTTTCAAGTGTTGGTTTGTAGGGATTTGATTGGTTACAGGATTTCATCATGAGCTGACACCAGTTAGAGAACCATTGGAAAACCTGGGAGTACTGGACAGCTGTTTCGTCCTAGTTTGGGACTCTTCAGCAGTACGCACCCACCGGGATTCGAACCCAGGACCTTCTGGTTACAAGGCGAGCTCGTATACCATTAAGCCACTGGGACCCGATCCAATGGTCCATGAATTCTAACTTCTGCCAATTCACGACATAGCGCGACCCCTAGCCAATGTCTTCGGCGAGTATTTGTCCTCACGCCCGACCTGCTGCACCCTACTGGTCACGACTTCTCACTAGAACCCCAGGTGACTACCCACCTGAATAGGGCAAGTCGCTAGTGAGCATCTCATTGATTTTCAAGTGTTGGTTTGTAGGGATTTGATTGGTTACAGGATTTCATCATGAGCTGACACCAGTTAGAGAACCATTGGAAAACCTGGGAGTACTGGACAGCTGTTTCGTCCTAGTTTGGGACTCTTCAGCAGTACGCACCCACCGGGATTCGAACCCAGGACCTTCTGGTTACAAGGCGAGCTCGTATACCATTAAGCCACTGGGACCCGATCCAATGGTCCATGAATTCTAACTTCTGCCAATTCACGACATAGCGCGACCCCTAGCCAATGTCTTCGGCGAGTATTTGTCCTCACGCCCGACCTGCTGCACCCTACTGGTCACGACTTCTCACTAGAACCCCAGGTGACTACCCACCTGAATAGGGCAAGTCGCTAGTGAGCATCTCATTGATTTTCAAGTGTTGGTTTGTAGGGATTTGATTGGTTACAGGATTTCATCATGAGCTGACACCAGTTAGAGAACCATTGGAAAACCTGGGAGTACTGGACAGCTGTTTCGTCCTAGTTTGGGACTCTTCAGCAGTACGCACCCACCGGGATTCGAACCCAGGACCTTCTGGTTACAAGGCGAGCTCGTATACCATTAAGCCACTGGGACCCGATCCAATGGTCCATGAATTCTAACTTCTGCCAATTCACGACATAGCGCGACCCCTAGCCAATGTCTTCGGCGAGTATTTGTCCTCACGCCCGACCTGCTGCTGGATCGGGTCCCAGTGGCTTAATGGTATACGAGCTCGCCTTGTAACCAGAAGGTCCTGGGTTCGAATCCCGGTGGGTGCGTACTGCTGAAGAGTCCCAAACTAGGACGAAACAGCTGTCCAGTACTCCCAGGTTTTCCAATGGTTCTCTAACTGGTGTCAGCTCATGATGAAATCCTGTAACATCTTCACTTTGTTCTATTCTCTACTGCCCTCTTTAGCTGGGCCCATGATTGCTTATAGTCCTTCATCTCGTCCTCCTCCATGTCACCCGAGTACGACCCACCCGCCGTTTCCCATACGGATTCCACTCGAGTGACGGATTGGCGTCCGGTGTCATTCGATAATCTCCTCAGCATATGTTTAATCCATGTCCATTTTCTCCAGAATATTTGTTGAACAATAGGTCCTTGATTGGTTTGCTCTCATAGTTTCTTGTTGCTAACTCTTTCTGGCTAACCATCCGATCTTCATTATGGGGTCAGAGAAAGGAGCTGTTTAATAGAAGTCCGCAGCCACCTGTTAGAAATGCTTTTCTTGACACGTAAGCCAAGTTTCTAACCCATCTAAAAGAACTGAGTGACTACTGACTTAACATTGGTGTTGAAAATCACAATCTTGTTCTTTATGCCGCGGAGTGTAGAGGATTTCCCAACTGATTTCAGATTGTGGAAAGTGTATTTTGCCTTCCCGAATATGGCTGCCTTTGACATCTTTATCCTTCCCGCCTGTGTTTGAAAAGATGCTGCCTGGCCAGATAAGTGAAGGGAGTAACCTCTTTCAAATTTCTCCCATTGATGGTGAACGGTGCTGGTTGTTGTTGCTGTTGGTGATGGTTGGTTATCTTCATCACCTCCGTCTTCCCAATGTTCACCTGCATTCCTGTCTTCGCTGCCTGCTTGTTCAGCCAGTTTGTTGGTTTCCGCCTGTGCATCTTCGAGTTTGTGTGACATTAAACGTGAATCATCCACACGCGAAATTCAGAGCCTTCTCGTTGGTCCAACGTATTCTTATCCTCTCACTCGTAGACCATTTCGAGCCACTGGGACCCAATCCAGTGGTCCATAAATTCCAATCCTGTATTATTATTATTATTGCATCCTTTAATTCCTAGAGGAACATAAGGCTTCAGCGTGCGTCTCCATTGCGTTCGGTTCTCTGCTAGAGTCTTCACCTGGCTCCATGTCTGCCCACGAGTGAAGCGATTCTGAGGACATCACTCGTACCAAATTCCCATGAAACCTCATGAACTCTCTTACAAACGACAACGATGATTCGAGATGTTCATGAAGCCGGCTCATCCTCCCGTAGGAGATAGCCGAAATAAAGTAAAGTAAAGTATGTCTGCCCACACGTTTTCATCTCCTCTTCACATGACCTCCTCCAAGTCACCCTTGCACTGACGACCAACTCGCCGCTTCCCTTTCGGGTTCCACTCGAGCAATGGCTTGTCTAGTGATGTCACTTGATGGATTGTTTCCTCAGAGTATGGCCAGCCAATCCATCTCCATTTCTTCCTGCCTATTTGTTTCACAATCAGTTCCTGGTTGTTTCGCTCCCAGAGATCTCTGTTGCTGATCTTTTCTGGCCGGCCATCTGATCTTGAGTATTGAGCGAAGACAACTGTTAATGAAGGTCTGTAGTTTGTTTGAGATGGTCTTTATGACGCGCAGTGCAAGTCTCTGATCCGTATAGTAGTATTGACTTCACATTGGAGTTGAAAATCCGGATCTTATTTTTAATGCTGAGTGTTGTTGAGAGACTTGAGAGTAGTGACAGCTCGTCTTGCTTTTCCGATCCTTGCTTTGATATCGTCGTCAGTTCCGCCTTGCCCAACCAAACGCTTAAATATCTTGTTCATTTTGTTTTTTTTTTCAATATGAAATCTTCTATTTCATGATGATGATTTGTTTGTTTTTAAATTGTGTTTTATCTCTCTCCCTTTTTTCTCTTTGCCCTTTTTCTTTCAATTTAGAACGCATAGTAACAGAGCGTACTATGTATGAAACATTACGCAAAGAAATGGACACGATGATCAATGAGTTTCATTCAATTTGATCGATACCGCTAGCAGCCCCTCTCATTCTCTTTCATCTGCTTCAATACATTTTACAATTTTGCATGTATTGTAACATTTTTTGTTGTTGAGAGGGAGGACGCCGACAGCGGTGAAGAGTTTTGAGGTGGCGAGGAACTAGTCTTTGCAATAAATAATAATAGCAATAATAATAATAATAATAATAATAATCTGCCTGCATGCATGCATCCAATTAACTCATCCCTTGTTTGTTCATTCTGTCAGCCATTTGTTTCATTTGTTTATTCAATATTTGCTTGCTCCCTTCTGCATTGACCATATTTAATATTCTTATTATTATTATTGTTATTATCAATCAGTTATGCATCTTTTGGATTTTGTGCATTTTGAGCATTGTATGCTTTACTTTGTTTTTAGGCTGCTCTCTTTCTCCCTGTGTCTGTCTCCTTAGTTGTTAGTCTTTTCAGTAAATACATTCAAGGCTTCACATTGCTTTTTGTTGCATGAAATTGGAGTCTCTTTCTGTTATTTAAACTCATTCCTCTAGACTTGGAGTACTTTTAGGCGCGTGGGTAGTAGTGGTGGTTCAAGAACAGTAGGAAGGCTTATGAACCACGCGTCATGTGATGTGGTCCGAGGTTCAACCCACCCCACACACCCCTGCCGTGTGCTGTGACGCACTCTCTGCTGAACACCTTTGTAAGCCGCCGGTAAAGACGGAAGATTGGTTGGTTGGTGTAGGGGGGGGAGGAAGTGAGGACAGCAGCCCAACCTCGTTGTAAAAGGGAATAACACTACTTCCACTGGAACTTCAAAGCTTGAAGCCCTATAGTTCCACTCGGAACTCAATGGAATAAAAATAAAATAATGGAGTACTTTATGTGCCCATTGTTTGTAGGTTAGAGAATTCCGCATACTATTATAACTTTTCTATCTGTTTAGGAGATTTTGTATTCAGTTTACTGCAATCACAAACGTGTAAATCTGTCTACCTACAGTTATCGTGTACGGATATTGAATTTTTGGTTGTGTGTCTCTGAGCTGGATGTCTTAGTTGCGAAGCTGATTTCATCGGCTTACTAGACAACATCCTCATCGCGCATACTTCCATTTGTTGAAGTGAGCTTTTAACTTTCTCCATGAGTTTATTAGTTATCTCTCCTGGTGGGGATGATCTTCAACGTCGTGATTGGATGCTTTTGTTTGCTTTCACACCCTCTAGTCTACATGTGGTATTGGTATTGATTGTTTCCTTGACCTGAAGTTTGACTTTTGTGCATGAAATTGAGCGGAAGCGCGTGCAGAAGAAAGACAGGCAATTATTACAAGAGAATTTAGGGGATCTTAAAGAATGATGAATGCTTCTATGACATTAGGAACAATTCAGAGGCATATCATCATCATACCATTCTCCTGCAGCGATTGGTCCTTAATATCTCAAGGAGCCAGTGAAGCAATCTACACCTGATTACATTGGCTTAAGCCGATAGTTGACGTCTTTACTCCTAACTCTTTTCCAGCCTAATCCTTTGTCAGGTAATATTTATTGACTGACGAGAAAGGCGATGGTTTGGCCTACGTGTAGTACGTCGTGCCCTAGTCATCTCAGTCAATTTTGTATTTTTAGGTAGTATAACTGTCTGTTTTACGACGGTCAGTGTTCATAAGTGTTTGATACAGTTTCCTGTCTCACTTCTGTGCGTATTAATGTACATCATCCTGGCAGATGATAAGTATTTTGTCTGGTTAGTTGTATCAGTCAGGGAAGATCACAAAACTGAAATGATTCGCCATCGATATACGCTTCAAATTGATATCCGATTCTGTAACTTGATGGCTTTCGTTATGCAGCAATAGAACTACTTGGATTCGTGCGTATAGTTGGTTGGTACACGTCTCTAAGGCATACTTGTCACCTCAGAGGAACTGTTGTCCCATTGGTATATGCATACAACATATTAGATTATATATTTCTGCATGTTTTACTGCCTTGATCCTTGTTTATCTATCGCCGATATAAGGATACGTGGAAAAGCTACCAATTGTGTATGATACTTTGAAGTGGACCTTAACTAGTGTGATGCGTCTAGTTCTTGGTGTTTGCTGCAGACTGAATTATATCAGGTAGTCAAGTTTGCAAAGTGTATGGTCACCAATAGTCTAGGTGGCTGTCCATCACGGTGCACTCTGGACTGTGAGTTGTTGATATAAGGTGGTTGGAGGCGCTTGGTAGGAAGCTCTACATGATCTAAGTTTCGTGCCAGTTGGCACCCACCAGTCAGTCACAGAAAGGCTTATCAGCATTCATCTTGAGGGAAATGTCATGTCCCTCTTTCTGATGCTCAAACCCGTGTCGTCATCCAGTGCAGTTCTGCAGTCAGAGACATTACCACTAAGGAGCTATTTGGGCTCGCTATTGATCTCCTGTAGGACTACTGTATTAAGTACTTTAATTGGACACTAATTGCAGCATTGGAGGACATGTGTACGCATCTCAGAAGGGACATGAGTTCCTTTGAGGTGATGCAGATACGCCTTTATCAAGGAAAAACACATCCTATTTGCATACATTCTTAAAGATCGGCTAGGTCAAATGGAGAATAAATTGTTCTGATTGGTTGGCAATTGACTCGAGGTAAAACAAGTTGTCCAATCAGGTTTCTCTTTATCGATGTTCACAAAGTAAGCTTAATCCAGAATTGGGGATGTGTGTATGGGTGGGGGTAGGGAAATAAACACTTCTACCTACCTCTACAGCCAACTAACGATTGACTTAAAATGTTCATATTTCAGTCTTTTTGCCCACCTCCTATCAATCTGATGTGAGTAGTGCCCATGCATGCATACGTGCAGGTTCCTGGAACTAGTGGTTTCTTTGCATCTGATGATAATCTTCAAAAATCTACTTTTGTTCACAATTTCTAGATGATCTATTGGCTGAGAAAGAAAGATACAAAGCACTCAGTGGTGAATTGGATCAAACATTCGCTGAACTTACTGGTTATTAATCTGAAAGTTGAGAATGGTTACTTACCACTTTCCTATTCTCGATACAGACACAGAGACTATATAACATTCTTATCACTCACACTATCCTGTTAAAATTAACTTTGTTAATTATAATTAAACATATAAAAAAAACAACCTTATGTCTCTTTAAACTTCTAGTACTCTAGAGAGTACTAATCTCCGTATGTTATTACAGTTTTTCATTTAACTACCTTCCTTTCAATCATGCTTGTGCTATCTATCTATCTATTAATCTATCTACCCGATATCCCTTACCCTTAAAAAATTTGTAGGCGTTTATAGCAAGCAGCCTAACTGATTGATGGTTCTATACATTTAAAGTATGAATAAATAAATAATGCCCGTGTTAAAAAACCATCTTGTGTTTTCCTTATTAATTACACATGTATTTCATACATTTGGTTCGCTTGACAAGTTTCGACAGAGAAAGAAAGACCAGATTTGTATTATAAAATGTGATATCATCATCCTACTTTGTGCGTCGGTGGCATAGCGGTTGGGATGCTCGCCGACCATGCACATTATCCTGGGTTCGATCCCCGGGCGACGCACTCCTTTACCTCTCGAAGCCAGAATTAATCCTGGTGAAGAGGAAAGGTTGGGCATGAGGCTAGCAACCCCATCCTGTAAAAATAATAAACACTGCTAAAGAAACTTCAAGCCAATATCTTGAAGCCCTATGTTCCACTGGGAACGTGAAGGAAAAAAAAATCATTCTACTTTACAGGTTCTCATCAGCGACTCAGGGATTGACTTGCTACCAGGGAATAATCTCGTCAACTTAGAATATGCGGACGATATGGTCCTCCTAGGCGAGGACGCTGACAAAGTGCAGAGTCTACTGAACACCTTGAGCAACAATCTACGAATGTTTGGCATGCGATTCGCCCCTGTAAAATGTAAGATGATGCTGCAGGATTGGACTTCACCGACCCTTGGATTAGAAATAAGAAGTGAGGTGGTAGAGCACGTTGACCGCTTCACTTACTTGGGAAGTACCATCAGCCCCAACGGGTTGATGTAAGACGAAATATCAGCACGAATACAGAGGGCTAGGTTCGCATACGCCAGTTTACGCCGTCTCTGGCGTAGACGCGATATCCGACTATCGACCATAGGGCGTGTGTACTGCTCAACAGTCCGCTCCGACCTCCTTTATGGCTGTGAGACATGGCCATTGAGAGCAGAAGACATGAAAAGATTAGCTGTCTTCGATCATAGGTGTCTGCGTTCTATCTCCTGTGTGAAGTGGTATGATAAGGTGAGCAATATTGAGGTTAGGCGTCGAGTGCTAGGTAAGGAGGGGAAATCAGTCGACGAAGCTGTGAAATTACATCGACTGAGATGGTTAGGACATGTGCTACGCATGCATGCCTAGTCATCGCCTTCCTCGACGGGCAATGTTAGCTGATATAGGGCCAGGCTGGAAAAGAGCTATCGGCGGTCAAACGAAAACATGGCACCAGTCAATGAAATCCACAACAGTTAGTCTAAGCCACGTAGGAAGGTGTGGACTTCCTGGTTGGGGTCCTCGGGACGGTAAAAGCCAATGGCTGGAAACAATTGGTGACATGGCTCAAAATCGTTGTCAATGGCTGGCGCAGATGCATCCACTCCTTGTGACTCATGATTTACAATTGAACTGCTTTGTTCTTCGTTATTACTATTCCTTTGTCTCACACCTCTGTTTACTGTCTATATTATGCATTTCTTCTACTTTCTTCTCTTGCTTTGCGTGCTACATAGATTGTGGCGACTTGAACTGCCGCACATATGTGCAAAGTTCTATGTTGAAAACCGACTTACCGACTATAGACCACTACCTGAAATTTAAATGGTTATACAGGAATGACACGAAGTAACAAACTTCGATGTTCGAATGGTAGTAGAGAAAATAGTACAAAATGAACGCGTCCGATATATAAGCATTTAAGGTTTTGGTTTAAGTCACTATCACCCAATATGCCTTTGAAAGTAGAAAACGAGTGTTGCGGAGAGGAGAGGATAGAAAAATCTAATAAATAATGTTGGATTATGGGTTCACATATCAGTTCAACAAGATTATAGTTCATAAGATTGAAAAACTTGTTCAGGGAGTTGAAACTACTAATATAAATGACTAA